AGGAAGGAAGGAAGGAAGGAAGGAAGGAAGGAAGGAAGGAAGGAAGGGGGGAGCCATCAAGAGTTGGGAAAATGGGCGCTCTTCTTGCAGCTCACTCTGAGCTGAGAAATCTACACAGGCCTAGCTACAGAATACAGGTAGTCCTTGACTTACAACAGTTCATTTAGTGACCATTCAAAGTTACAGTGGCACTGACAAAAGTGATTTATGACCATTTCTCACACTTACAATGTCTGCAGCATCCCCACGGTCACATGATCAAATTTCAGACGCTTGGCAAGTGACTTATGACAGACGCAGTGTCCCAAATCATGGGAACCCCTTTTGGGACAAGCAAAGTCAACGGGGGAGCCAGACTGATTTAACAACCGTGTTGCTAACTTCACAACTGCAATGATTCACTTGACAACGGTGGCAGGAAAGGTCGTAGAAAGGGGCAAGTTATGGAGGCGGCTCCCCCACCCGAGAAGCGGCTGAAATGCTTCCACGGTTCCCACCGCTGCTGCCGCTGTTATTGGAGACAGCACTGGCGAGAGAGGGACAGCTGCAGCTCGGCCTGGGCGCGCTTGGAATGCAGGAACGGGCTGCGCACCGGGACTTTTGGAAACTTGCAGAGCCCGAGGCTGGAGCACCAAGGGTAGCAGCAGCAGAGACGCTCGCTTGGCTCTTCTCACGCCCAACCAGCCGCTCGGGATTAAACCAAAACGCAGCACGCGGCGCTCCCAGGTATCTCAAAATGTTTTTTTTTTCCTGTTGTTACGGGGATGGGGGGAAAGCGGGAGCGACTCAGATGCTGTCGTTGGAGACGGCGCTGGTACACAGGGGGGGGGGAATTAATTTACCCCCGAAAAGAAATCCTAGCCGTTTTTTCGGGGCTCAAAAAATAATAAGGCCTGGCCTTATTTTGTGAGAAACACAGTAGGTAGGTAGGTAGGTAGGTAGGTAGGTAGGTAAGTAGATAGATAGATAGATGATAGATAGATAGATAGATAGATAGATAGATAGATAGATAGATAGAT